TGTTGTGTTTCTAGTTATTTTTATAATTTTAAAGAAATTATTGGCTTGAAATTACGGTATGACGGTATACCGGTATACCGTTTATTTTCAAAATATATACTGATAGCATACCGAAGTAATTCGGTACGGTATCATACCGTACCGAAAGTGTCGGTATACCAACCATTTCGGTAAATTCGATATTTTTCGATATGATAAGTCCGGTATACCGAAATTTCGGTATTTTTCCCCACCCCTAGGAGTTATTAAGTCATTTTTCTGTCCACTATTTTACTTTGATCATATATTAGATATTATTTTTTTATTAATATTAATATTTTACCATTAAACTAGTTTTTGCAGTTCTAAATCTTTGTGCAATTGGTAACTTTGTACTCCCTGTATTTGTTAGATTTAGGACTCAACTATTTTTCTTGTTGTTAAAAGTGAGAAAATATGAAGTTTTTTAATACCAATATTTAATAATTACATTAAAATATGTAAAATAGTTCTAGGAAATTTAAAATAAATGATAAAAAATCAAAACGCATTTTCACGCCTAAGTCCCGCCTAAGCCCGCCTAGGCTTCAAAGGCTTAAGGCTTGGCCATGCCGCCTCGGCTAGGGGTGGACTCGGGCCGGGCCAACCGGCCCGGAACCGGACCGGTCCGCTACTGTGCGGGCCCGGACCGGCCCGGTCAACCGGTTCGGGCCACCCGGCCCGGTGGTATAGCGGTCCGGGCCCGGGCCTCCATTTTAGTGAACCGGGCCCGGCCGGGCCGGGCCCGGTTCGGGCCTCCAACGGGCATATTTAAATTTTTTTTTTTTGGATTTTAGAAGGCTCCTAGCCGTTGGGAAGGCTCCCAAACGGCTCTATAGCCGTTGGGAGCATAGGAGGGGGGGGGGGGGGTCTGGGGGGTTAGGGGGGTGGGGTGGGGGGGTGGGGTGGGGGGTGGGGGTGGGGTATAAAAAAATCTATTTAAACTCCTATTTTCTCTACATTTTTTACACTTCTTCTTCTACAACTCTTCCTACTCTCTAATTCTCTACTCTAAATCTCTCATATTCAATCATCTTCATTCTTCATCTTCTCCAAATTCTTTCTACATATATATAATTTATATAATTATTATATCTACTTATATATTAATTATCTATTTATAAATATATACTTATACACATTCATATTATAATTCTTTACACATTATATATACTATATAAGTATATATACTATACACATTCATATTTACTTGATATTTAGTTATTATCCATACTATTGTTATTTACTTATATTTACATATTACATTTAGTTAATATATACTTATATGTATATGTATATATATATATATATATATATATATATTAAAGTATTAAGTATAAGTGTATTACTCATCTTATAGTAATATACTTATATATTATATACTATAAACATTATATTATATATTACTTATGATAGTAGTTAATTGTTAGACTTCTCATTTATCTATTAAATTAGTTAATTGTTACATTTCTCTACATTTCTCTTTAAAGAAAAAAATAGTTAAAGTAGTATATTTTTACATTTGTCATATTTCAATTAGTTAAAGTACTTAATTGTTTCATTTGTCATATTAAAATTAGTTATTTCATACATTGCTCATTAAAGTAAAAAAACTAGTTAAGTTTTACACTTGTCATAATAATATTAGTTAAACTACTTAATTGGTACATTTCTCATATTAATATTAGTTACTTGCTACATTTCTCATTAAAGTAAAAAAAGTAGTACATTTTTACATTTGTCATATTAATATTAGTTAAAGTATACATTTCTCATTAAGGTAAAAATAACTAGTAAATTTTTACATTTGTCATTTTAAAAACTAGCTAAAGTAGTTAATTGTTAAATTTGTCATATTAATATTAGTTAAACTACCTAATTGTTACATTTCTCATATTAATATTAGTTAATTTGTACATTGCTCATTAAAGTAAAAAAAAACTAGTTAATTTTTACATTTCTCATATTTATATTAGTCAAACTAGTTAATATTTAGTTAATTGATACATTTCTCATTAAAGTATTAATTAGAAGTAGTTCGATTTTTATACTCATATTTTAGTTCGAATTTGCTATAGTTTTCTTAGTCACATTTTATTATTACTATTGTACTCATATAAAATATTTGATATCATTTAATATTTGTTCAATTTTAAAGATGGAACGTGGTAGACATTCTGTAGATGTGGGTAATCTCCAACGCAACCGCAAGAGGGAGATTGCGTCGACTCGTCCTACTTCACGCAAAGGCAAAGGTAAAGCGCGGGCCGAGTCTTCTTTTCAAAGTCGAGATGATTTTGAAACGGATTACCAACGGAGAGATGCTATGATGATGTCCGACGAGCATCTACAAAACCTATTGTCCCAAAACGATCCACGCTTTGCACAAGAACAACACATCCCGACAACCATTGATGAAGAGGAGCTCGAGGGTGACGATGCGGAGGAGGACGCGGGGGGCGACGGGACTCACGGCACCCCGGATGATGAGCAAGACTTGGAGGACGAGGGCGGTTCAACCCAAACTGGTAAGAAATCTAAATCTCCTATTATTGAAAACAATTTTACAAAAAGGAAAGACAAAAATACCGAAAAATGGTACGCAAGTTGCAATCATACGGGAGTCTCACAAGGCATCTTAAGTCCGCCCATCTTGTGGAGTATGCGAAAATAGACAAGGGCAAGGGGAAGCAAACACAAATATCGAGGTTTGCAAATTCTCAACCCTTTGGTAATTTCTCCTATGATGATAAAAAACATTTGACTGGTATGTCTCATTTAATTGTTGAAGAAAATTTACCCTATATCAAAAAATTGTTAATGTTTTGGTATATTTTAATAACGCAACACAAACTTTTAGTCATGTTTATAAGCCTACCGCAAACGAATTTTTTGTTGAAGCTGTTAATCTCGCCGGCGCATTTTTAGAATTTTCCGATGCCGCTTACGTTAGTTATTTTTGTGATTTCATGAAACAAAAGTTTTTGAAATATTATTCACATATTCCGCATATATATGGTATTGCATTTGTTCTTGATCATCGTTATAAACTTGCCTCGTTGGCAAGTTGTATAGATTACTATTACGATTCTTTTTTTCCAACTCAAGAGTTCGATGATAATCCAATCGACCCTAAACAAGAATACAACGAGGTTAGTAATTTATTTCATCAATTGAGAATACAACGAGGTTAGTAATTTATTTCATCAATTGTATAATGAATTTCATGCACAATATGGTAATGCACCCCCTCCCATGCCGCGAACATCTTCTTCATCTAAAGGAAAATCACTTTTAAAATCTGCATTTGGTTCTCTTATGAAAAAAAGTAGAGCAACTCCCGCTACTGAACAAAGCTCAGTTAACGAGCTTTCTTTGTATCTAACATTGAATGTTGATTATGAAGTTGGGGATGATTTTGACGTTCTTAAGTGGTGGAAGGACAATGAAAGAACGTTCCCGGTTTTATCAAAGATGGCTAAGCAAGTGCTAGCAATGCCGATATCAACAGTTGCCGTGGAACAAGAATTTAGTGCGGCCGGCAACGTCCTAACCGATTATAGAACGAGGTTGAGCCCGAGCTCTCTTGAGACGCTAGTTTGCTTCCATGATTGGTTGAAGGCCAAACGAAGAACTCAAGAAATGACCATCGCTCCCACCCGCCACTTTATGGAGGAAACAACCACCGAAGGCGGAGATTCCGATTGATTTTTTATTTCAAAATGTATTACATATTTTAAATGCATCCTAATTCTCAATTGTACTTCTTATTTGAAATAAATATACTTGAATTATTTTATATTATTGTGTACATCAATTCAATAATTGAATTCAATAAAATTCATTTGTAAACTTGTACTTCATATGTAGCACTTCTCAAATTAATTAATTGGTTACAAACTTATAACTTACAACTTGAAATTATTTTTGTAAAATCTGAAGGCTGTTTTTAAATTAAAATATGTAATATTAATATGTAAATTAATTAATCTGTTACAAACTTACAAGTTACAACTTATACACCTATTTTGTAACATTGTAAATTATAAATCAAATCACTTTTCTAAGTAAAAATAGTTTTACTTAATTAAAAAATTAAAAACATTTTCCTTACGTATAATTTTCTAAATCATATCACTTTTCTAAGTAAATTTTATACACAATATGTATAATTTAAAAAAAAAAATTAAAAACATTTTGAAGTGGGAGATTGCTCCCAAACGGCTATATAGCCGTTGGGGCTTAGGGTGGGGGGCAGGGGGGTCCCGGGGGTGGTGGTGTGGGGGTGGGGTTCAAAAAAATCTATAAATACATCTATTTTCTACCATTTTTCTACACCTCTTCTCCAACTCTTTTCCATCTTCATCTTCTCTTATTATCCTACATTTCTACTTATACATCTACCATTTTAAAGATGGAAAGTAATTCTTCTGTTATGCAAAACAATTTTGATAAGTGGAAGGACCCGAAGACCGGACTGTGGTGGGCAACTTGCAAGTGGTGCAAGAAAGAGTGTTGCTTGGGGCGTTCACACGGAGTCGGGATGCCAATAAAACATATGAAGTCATGTGACAAAGGCAAAACAACAACCAACGGTGGCGGAAATCCCAATTGATATTTATTCGAAAATGTATTTCATATTGTTATTTTTTTCTCAATTCTCAAATGTACTTCCTATTTCAAATAAATGCACTATAATTTTGTTTTTAATAACAATTATTATAATAATATAATATATAATTTAAAAGAAAAAAAGGCCCGGCCCGAACCGGACCCGGGGTTACCTGGGCCGGTTCCGGGCCTCTCAAACCTTGAACCGAGGCCCGGCCGGTTCAAGGCCCGAACCGGGCCTGGCCCGAACCGAATCCACCCCTAGCCTCGGCACGCCTTAGGCATTTTAGAACATTGCCTAGGCACGCCTTACGCCACTAATTTCTCCCAGCTCCAGGCTTGTTTATAAATTCGTTATAAATGGTTCTATACCCTAACAAAACCCGCAAGCTGAAGACATCGTGCGACATCATGGAGGAGGTGGAGGTGGAGGTGGAGGTGGAGGACCATGGTGATGCCAAAATGTATGAATTTCATCCAGATATCAAGCGGATATTCAGTTGGATCAGCAACACTCCCGGCTTCTTCAGCGACAAGGACAGCGACAAATTCCTGTATGAACTTATCATGACAAGGTACCAGGTAAATATACTGTTTCCTTTAAAAATTGAGAAGTTAACTATTAAATTGAGATCTTCCTTTTAGTTGTCTAGTTATGGTCAAATCACGAGACTCTTTTTTGTGTTTTGCAATTGGCGTAGATTGATGATGCGAATGATTGTTAGATAATTTGCTTCATATTTTCGGTCATGCATGGATGTTAAAAATGTTGTGTGCTATGAAATGGGGTAAACAATACGGAGTATTAATTATCTTACTAATTACTATGCTGGTGTAAAGTTTTATAACCTATTTATACAAATCCAGATTTTGTCCAATGCTTCGTCAGTCATTGGCGTTCTTCTTAATATTGAGAACTTTGAACTCCTGCTTGCTTAGGTAGTTATGGTTAGATCGATGTGCGTAACTACCTATGTGTCTAGATAATTTGATTAAACCATTTCCATTGACATACCTCTAGCAATTTCAATATATGAGCTGGCTTCTCGCTATATCTCTGTTTGTTAACATTTTCAGTGAGTATAAATGTGACCTGATCCAGAAAACCAAAGTATTGGGGGCAGAGCAAAGAAAAAAACAACTATATTAAGAAAAAAAATGCTAAATGCACTTAAATAAATATACTTGAATAGTAATTTTTTAATAAAGTACACGAGAATTTCTAAGCTAAATAAAATATATTACGAGTACAAAATAAAATAAAAAACCTAAAAAGTGAATCACAATTACTCCCTTCGAGATTTTCATCCCTTACATCAATTTTTTTTTCGAGTTTCCTCCATTAGGATAGTATTTAGAGCCCGTTTGGTAGCATTGAAATTGCCTTAATCGACTGATTCTGCTGAAATTTATGAAGTTTTGGTTGAAGTGGCTGGATTGGCTGATTCTGCTGATTTATGAAAAAGATAATATTTAAAATATATTGTATTAATAAAATAAATAAAGAATTATATGATAAATAGCTAAAATGATTCGAGTAACTTCAGCCAAAACAGTCAGAAAAATAACTCTAACCTTACTTTTTCTTATTATTACACAATTCAGTGCGCAAAATAAAAAATTACGTGTTTGATGAATAAGTTGACTGAAAAGCCGAAAAACAAGGTCACCAAACGGACTCTTAGACTTTTTCTTCTAATTGTGGGCCTGATAGAAGCTCAACCACTTTAATTTTCTTCAATAATTTAAATAGCACATTGAGAAGTACTATTCCACACATTTGAACTTGAACTTCCCACCGTTGATCCATTAGCGATTTATACAAAAATCTGTCACTAAAATTTGATAAAAAAACATTTAATTAATTTTTTGACAACAAATATACTCTTTTGTATCTTTATATATCAAGTTAATATGAACTTCCCAAAATATGTCCTACTAATTCTAACAGCTTCATAGAAGTACACAATAACACTTCAACACATACAAATTATACAATAAGTCAATAAATAATATATGGTCAAATACTCAAATTAATCACTCAAACAGATAATACGTAGTACTCCGTATTTAATAGGCTTTGGGATGAAGTATACTGAGTATTTTTTTAGGACTGACTGGACTACGGGAGTTGGGACTTGGGTCAATTTGATGGGGTTATTTTAATTTTTTTAATGGGGGCAATATGTGTGCTAAATTTTTTTCTTAATATAATATATGTATCTATTTGAAGTTTATTGGGGGCAGCTGCCCCCCCTTAATCAAATTGATTTTTGTCTGGCCTAACTGTTTATTCTGTGCATGACTTTGTTACCAGGAGCTCGATAAGAGGTTATATAAAAGTTTAACTGACAAAAATGAGCTACTTCAGCAACACTATAGAATTCAAGGCTCGTCTCTTTTCATTTGCATCATTCCTGACAAGGCCAATAACAGGTTGATTATCACTGATAGTGGTATTGGCATGACAAAGGATGGTAAGTGATAGCACTACACTCTGTTATTCTCTACCCCTCAAATCTGTATACTCATATAGCATCCCATCTGTGTTTTCAGACTTGGTCAAAATGGGCACAATGGCTACTTCTGGCACAAAGAAATTTGTGAAAGCTCTTGAAAATGGTATTGATATTCATGATATCTGTCAACCGCTTGGTGTGGGAATTTACTCCTCTTATCTTGTGTCTGAGAAGGTAATTGTCACAACAAAGCATAATAATGACCATGACCCGTATGTGTGGGAATCCCAAGCGGGTAGCTCATTCACTGTCACCAACGATCCGGACGGGGATTGGGATTGGGATCCCCTTCACGGGGATCTCCTTCCCATGGGTTCGGGTACCAAAATTGCCCTTTACCTCAAGGAGCCCCATCTGCACTACCTGGAAGAAAGCCGACTGAAGGATTTAATCAAGAAGCACTCTGATCAGTTCATAAGCCACCCCATCTTCCTCTCGATTGAGATTGAGAAGACGATAATGGAATATTCCGACGATGAGGATGAAGAGGTTGAGAAAACAGACGAAGAAGGAAAGGTTGATGAGGAGAAACATGAAAACAAAAAGAAGAAGAAGAAGATCAAGGAGGTTTGGCGTGAATGGTGTTTGGTGAACGAACAAAAGCCAATCTGGATTAGGAAACCAGAGGATATCACACAAGAAGAATATGCTTTATTTTACAAGAGTCTTAACACAAACAAGTGGGAGGAGAATTTGGCAGTCAAGCACTTTTCACTTGAGGCCGGCCTGTTGAAATTCAAGGCTCTCCTCTTTGTTCCAAAGAGGGCTCCTTCTGACTCCTTCGATGCAAAGAAGGTAAACAACATCAAGCTCTATGTCCGTCGTGTCCTCATCATGGAAAGTTGTGAGGAGCTGATCCCGCAGTACTTGAGTTTTGTCGAGGGAGTAGTCGACTGTGAGGACCTTCCTTTGAACATCTGTGGTGAGACTTTGAAGGAAAACAGGATTATAGATTGGATGGTCATTCGCAAGAACCTGGTAAACAAGTGTCTAGAGCTGTTCTCTGAGATTGCAAAAGATAAGGAATACTACACCATATTCTATGAGGCTTTCTCAAAGAACCTCAAGCTTGGGATGCATGAGGATTCGCAGAACAGGACTAAGCTTGCAGAGCTTCTTCGTTACCCCTCCACAAAAAGCAGGGATGAGTTGACCAGCTTGAAGGAATACGTGACCAGGATGAAGGAAGGACAAAACTACATCTACTACAACATCAAAGGTGGTAAGAGTGAGAAGGCTGCTAAGAGGCTCAAGAATAAAGGATATGAGGTCCTCTTAATGGTTGAAGCGATTGACGAGTACTCTATTGGTCAGTTGAAAGAGTTTGAAGGGAAGAAGCTGATTTGTGCTGCAAAAGAAGGGCTCAAGCTTGAAGAGAGTGAGGAAGAACTGAAGAAGAATGAGGAGCTGAAGGCGAAGTTTGAGGGTTTGTGCCAGGTGATGAAGGACCTTCTGGGCGACAAGGTTGAAAAGGTTGTTGTCACTGACCGTGTTATGGACCATGCCTGCTGTTTGGTCACTCCACAGTGTGGGTGGGCTGCGAACATGGAGAGAAACGAGAAATTATACCCCTCTAGCAAGCCCACGATGGAAATAAGCCCTGAAGAATCCATCATCCAAGAGCTCAGGCAAGAAGCCTCGGCTCTCAAAGAGCTAATAGTGATGGTGTTCAAGACTGCACAGTGAACAGTGAGAAGATATACTTGTATGTAATATCCCAATTAAAAATCGGTCTAGACAAATTTGGTACAAAGTTAATACTCAAAATGGTGTGCTAAAACGATATCAGAGGCTAGATTTTGTATTAAAAATGGCGAATTTAATATTACGACTTTCTTGACTAAAATTAGTAGTAAAGATAAACACAAAATGAATAATTAGGAAAGTATTTATAAGGTAATGATCGACTTTATTTGAACAAATATACAAATAAAAAGTTGTGGACTATTATAAACTAAACTAGTTAAAGTAAAAGAAGTTAGTGCCATGCAAAGCAATAAGCTAAACTAAAATATTACGTGTATGTTAGTATGTATGTAAATCTAAAAGACAAAATACATATATTCAAATAATTGAGGACATCTGGCATGTCTATTATATATTCAAATATAAAATATAGGACACTCAGCGAAAACTCCTCTACCCAAAATGCACACACTCGGGAGAAGACTAACGCAGGACCAAAATGAATATTTGTCATCATAATAATTAAAGTGACAACAGCGAATGTAATAATGTGTTAAAAGGAATACGAAAATGTATAACCCTTTAATGAAATCAATCCTATGGGTTTTATGGCATTTTCATGTAATACTAGTATTGGTTTAGAGAAGTATCACTACAAGAAAAGCATAGTGACGGAAATTTAATGAGAGTAACAAATAACCCTCATTAAAAGTGCAATTTAAACACTTTTTATGAGAGTAAATAATCCCCTATTTAAAACTTGGCTAAATTGTGACAGAATTTGAAGCTTTCACATTTTACCGTCATTATTGGTGTATTGAATGTAAATTTATTCATTCCGTATAGGGAGTATGTTTTTATCCTCAAAGTACTTCAGATAGGGTTATCGATTTTTCTTTCTCACCGGTCACCACACTCTCATTTCAGGCTTGAGCACTACTGCACTAACCATGGAGAAGGTGAAGAAATTAAAAGCCTATCACAGCAGGCGACTACTCTGGCTACGATCAACAGTGAGCATGAACAGGAGGTAAGTAATAGTCACAAGTTCGTTTTTTTTTTCAGTTCATCGCACTCCTCCCGGAGATCTATGTTATAGATTGGGCAAATATTCTACGATTTGCATATGGTTATATAATCGTTTTTTATTTTTATTACTAGTTTATTGTGAAAACTTGGTTTTCTCTCTAATCTGGTGTAAAGTGTATATATATCATGCTGCTTCTTGCTTCTCAGGTGCTGATTAGCTGACATATTTGCTTTTTCTCGACTTCTCTCGCTTTTGGTTTTTGTTTAGTTAATACTTCTTCGTTAGTTTTTTTTGCCAGGTGTGCTTCAATTTTAACTGATTTTAATCCCCTTTATCCAGATCTGAGGAGTTTTTGACTAAATCATTTCTAATTATTGAGATACGTATGATTGATTTGAGGTATCCCCTTCAATTTGTTGTCATTCTTAGCAGGTTTCCAGTAATGCACACTATGTGTTTGATGAAAGTTGTATGAAAGGATAAGAGAATGACGAGTAAGAAGGCACTGGTAATAATTTGTCTTTGTTTAAACAAAGTTATATCTCCTTGTCATTCCCTCACGGACCTCAACTGCAATAATCATATCTATAATAAAATGAAATTTTCACTTTCTATTTCCTTAGCAGGAAAAACTCTTTGACTTGGTGGATGTTAGCTGAAACTTGAATCATAGGTCAAGAAAGTGTTTATTCCCATGACATTCATGTAATTTCCATGTTTATTTTGGTATTTTTAATTAGTTTGAATTGATTGTCACTTTGGAAATTACACACTTTTGGTGTAATAGTTTAGCTTGTGAAATATTTGTAATATGTTTAGATTAGGTTCATTCTGAGCTCAAACAGGTCCAAGTACACTTTGGAGACCATTGGGGAACATCACAAGTGGAAGGAAGGTGCAAAAATACAAGAAAAAGAGGTGAAGATTTCGAATTTGGTCTGTACCCGGTCGGGTATGACATATACCCGGTCGGGTACCCTTCTAAAAATCAAATCGGATCAAATCTGGGAACAAGGCATCATGCGGGAAGATTTTAACACGTTCGGGTGTTATACCCGATCGGGTGACCGACAGACCCGGTCGGGTACAACCCCAATTTTTCAGTTTCGAAGAAGCTACCTTTTACCCGATCGAGTGAGCTGAAAGCCCGATCGGGTACACTACCCTGCAAGCCTAAAAAGCCTATAAATACACCCCATTTCCTCCACAATAAATTACCAATTCCTATATACTTCAAAGCTCAGTTTAGACAAGTTCTTTCTTTATATTTTTATCATGTTTAGTCTCCAAATGAGGAGCTAAACTCTTCCATCTTGGTTTTGCTACTTTGAAGCTTAATGATTTGTAAGTTGTGAGTTACTTTCTTTAATCTTCTTCCTTGAATATTAACTACTTCCTATTCTTATCCCATGTTAATATATTGAGCATTACTTAAAGTATCAACTAGTCTTGTTCTATATATTAGTTATTACTAGAATCGGTCGGTTAATACGCTTGTTATTAATTCGATCCTTTCACGGTAGTAAACTTGGGTTGTTAATACATGCTTTTCATGGTTAACAAGCCAAGGGGAATTAATTATATTGATTAAACCAATAAACCGCTTGTGTTGAGGTTATCAATCTCAATCGTTTTCATCTTGATTTTATTGCTACTATCAAGTTAATATACGACGCTTGTTCTATATTGACTCGGTAGTAAGTTTTATTAATGAACGCTTCTCGTTATTAATAACTACCCTCGATGAACTGGATATACTCCTCGATTGAGTATTCGAGAGGAAGATAGTTAAAGATATAACCGGGATCGATGAACATTTCATTAAGTGGATAAAAGCAAAGCCAAGTCTTCTTCTCATTAATTAAACCACATAACTCGTTCATCTTCGTGTTTAAATATAATTTAAGCTAATTTACTCAATCTAACCCCCCCCCCCCCCTTGTTACTAGTTTATAAAGAGAAAATTACTCCTTTCCCTGTGGACACGAACCTTACTACGCTATACTACGTATAAGTGTTGTATTGAATATTATTTTGAGTGCACCTCACGACAAGTGCACGTCATCCCATAATTTATTACTATAAATCTGATGTGATAATCTGGTATAATGCTTCTCTTCGTTATATTGAAATTATGGTTTAGAAAAATTAATGAATTAATGATATTTCTGTATATAAGGGATCCTAAATATTTTTCACTTTGTCTTGTTAATTAGTTCTACTTTTTTAGGCTACGAAGCAAGGCTATCCTAGTTTCTAGACACATAAGTTTATTTGATGGTTATTTAGGCAATATTAAAACTCAAAATATGGTATTGAAGAAAAGAACTAAAGAAAATGCGTTCTTGGTATTTTTTGTACCTTGATTAAATGACATTGTTTACCTTTCGTATTCATTAATTTAGGTGAAGACTTTTTTGCACCTTGGTTTGTTCGTATATAAGTTGTTAAGTTTTGTTCAGTTAAAATTTATTCTCTTTTCTTTTCATTTATTTATTTATTCATTTATTATTTATTTGCAGGCTACTTCAAACCAGAAGTCAGAGAATAGATGCATCTTTGTTTTTTTTTGTAGATTTGTATATTTTATTGGTTGTTCAAAGAAGAGTAATAATATCAGAATGTTTGAGTTTTGGTTGTGAATGGTGATTTGTCTTGGACTCTGAAGTTGATGGACTCCTGATTGGAGGTTTGGACTCTCATTTGTTACTCTGATTTTCATTATTCTTGAGTAGTCTATTCTAGTTGGAAAACCAACCATTATTTTTCTTGGTTTTTAAATCTTCTCAATAGGAAAACTAGTTTTAGCTTACTTTGATTTAACTTGTTGATGTTGATATTGTGCAGGCTTAGTATTCAATTGGAGTGTATCATCTCGTAAAGAACTTGAAACAAATACTTAATCATTCTTCCGATGCTTGGCAGGTTCACGCTCTTGGTTTTTATTTACTCTGGAAGATCATTTTGTTGGTATTTATTTACTCTGTTTGTTGATTTAAAGCTTCTAAAGAGTTCAAATCATTCTTTTTTATGGATATATAAATTTCTTCTGCTTGTCGTTTACACATTCAGAGAATTGTTATTTATTTGTGGTTTTTGTTAAAGTTTACACTACATTTGCAGCAGTGCAATATTGATCACATTCTGGTAAACAACTTACTTGAATTGTCCTTTCAATTCAAGAAAGTTTCTCTAGATTGTATTTGAGTGAAGAAACAATTTGTTGTTTATTTTCTAGACTAGATTGCTAGTTAAATATTTTAATGTGTTTAAAATTTACTGTCTTTTTTTGTTGCAGTTTGCTTTCAACAAGAAGTATGGATAGCTGCAAGGATCAGTTTTTTCTTTGCCTGGATTTGTATTAATCATATGAAGGCCCACCTAACCATTTCAAATTCAGAATAGGGGTGAATCCTTGAATGTACACACGAGTGTTTACTTTATCAATAGGAATGTTTGTAATCTTCAGCTTCAATTCTGTTCTTGTAATGACAGTTGTAAACTTGTAATTTTTTTTCGTTCCATATCTAAAATAAAGCTCGAATTTGAATTTCTGATCACTGTACATGTTCAAAGTATTAGTCTTTAATAGAATTTAATTGATAGGAGTCAAATAGTGTGATCTATTCACTACAAGAAAAGCTACTTTTAACTATGAAAATTAGTGACGGGCAGATAATCCTCTCATTAATAATACGATTTGTCGAGTTTTTGTGAGAGGAAAAATCCTCTAATTAAATTAGTGAGGAAGTTTAAGTATTACCCTCGTTATTGATACTTAAAAATTTCGAACCCCTCACTATATGCCATTCGACAATCAGCGCCCCAAATTTTAAGAGCGGCAAACAAAAAAATATCCTCCCGCTATACTGAGTATTTGCTAAAAACCCTCTTCAGAAAACTCTCATACCGACCGACGAAGCCTCCCTCGTACATCTCCCTCTGTGCGCTTCATCTCTGCGCTCCATCACTGTGCTCGGTCGCTCTCTCTCGTCCATCGCCGACTTGGGCTAGGTAAACATTCATCATCAATCTCTGCGCTTAATCAAACAAAACCGCGCTTAGGCGCGTACGCCTAGGCGAGCGACGATTGGCTCTGGGCTTTTCTCTTCGCTTTTCCTGTGAGTGATTAAGCGCAATAGCGCTCGCTTTCTAGCCTTACTCACAAAA